ATCCGGCACAGCAGCGAAAGGGAGGAGCAGGGGGTGGGAGGGAGGAGAGGCAGAAGAAAATATGCGCAGGGAGCCAGCTGGACAGCCACTTGGCCCCCCTTTGCTGCCTCCCAGAGGCAGAAATGCAGGGTGGGGGAGGAGAGGCGGGAGCCGGCTTAAAAGCGGAAGCACTGACTCACAAGTTTACAAGCTAAGCTCTATACTGCAGAGCCTGCAGCACAGGTAACCGTGTAACTGCTAAGATTCTTAGCGGTTACATGGTCACCTTTTTAAATGGCTTTTTACATCCCTAGTTAATATATATTTTGTCCATTTTATGGATGACTAGATTATTTTCTCTGTATCTCCATTTATTCCCCTCCCTTCAGCCACAATGCACATTTCTGCTAAAGCTGGAATTAATACACAGGAATTCCCAATTTCCAGCCTCATGTTTAATTCATTGCATCACACACGGTCCTAACATAAGGACATTTTCTTTATTAAATTGCTGGTTCTATAGAATAACCTTTAGGCATTTTAATCCAAGGAAATAAGTAAGTACCAAAAAATAACCCTTCTTCCTCTCCCCACCACCAGTTGTCCAAAGCAATTTGGTTTTCAATGTTCATAAATCCTATGCAATATCACAATCCTCCAAAAACTACTTTTTAATTCCAAAGTCTGTTCTCAGCTTAATATATGAGCATTTAATCAACTGTTAGACACTGCATACCTGCAAAAGCCATGCAGACATTGTCATCAAGTGCGCAGATCTTCCTCACAGTTCTTTCATCCTGAAGTTTTGCCACAGATTTCTTTTCCACACCAAGAACAACAATCTCTTTTCCTCGCACTCCAACCTTTAAATGCATTCAAAACCCATGACAGATAAAATACACCCAACAGACCTATAAGAGGTATAGACTTTCCTTAAAAAAATACAAAAGTATTAATTCCATTTGAAGCATCAAATGCTTTGCTTCATGGTGTACTCTGTTGGAAATAAACTGATGTAAAACAGAAGAAATCACAGAATAATAGAATACTAGAACTGGAAGTGACCTCAAGAGGTTATCAAGTCCAGTCCCCTGACCTCACTGCAGGAACAAGTGTCATCCCTGACAGACATTTGTCTAACCTGCTCTTAAATATCACCAATGATGGAAATTCCACAACCTCCCTAGGCAATTTATTCCAGTGCTTAACCACCGTGACAGCTAGAAAGTTTTTCCTAATGTCCAACTTAAACCCCCCTTGCTGCAATTTTAAGCCCATTGCTTCTTCTCCTATCATCAGATGTTAAAAAGAATACCTTTTCTCCTCTTCCCTTTAACACCTTTTTAGGTATTTGAAAGCTGCTATCATGTCCCCTCTCGGTCTTCTCTTTTCCAAACTAAACAGTCTTCCCTCATAGGTCATGTTTTCTAGACCTTTAATCATTTTCATTGCCTCTTCTCTGGATCTTCTCTAATTTGTCCACTTTTTTCCTGATATGTAGTGACCAGAAATGAACATAATACTCCAGCTGAGGCCTAATCAGCGCAGAGTAGAACAGAGGAATTACTTCTTGTGTCTTAGTCACAATACTCCTGTTACCATTGCAAAAAACAAGTATCATTCTGGGATGCACTGGTTAGCCTGTGATTCACTAAGACCCCTAGACCTCTTTTTGCAGTATTCCTTCCTAGACTTTTCCATTTGTACGTGTGAAACTGTTCCTCACTAAGACTACATCTACACTACAGGCTTCTTGTGCAAGAAGCTTTTTGCAGAAGAGATGCAAAAGCGCATCAGAAAAGTGATGCGCTTTTGTGCAAGAGGGCATTCAGACTGCATGGACGCTCTCACAAGAAAGCTCTGCTTGCCATTAACAGAATGGCCACTCAGGGCACCTGTGCTTCTTTTGAAAGGCTGTTTTTGTGCAAAAAAACCATTTCCCGTCACACACACATTTTTGCGCAAGAGCTCTTGCACAAAAAGGCTTATTCCTCATAGAAAGAGGAATACCTATACCGCAAAAAAACCCCTCTTCTGTCAATTCACTGTAAATTTTCCTGCACAAAAACTCTGCAGTGTAGACATAACCTCAGTGGATACTTTGCATTTGGCCTTATTGAACTTCATCCTATTTACTTCAGACCATTTCTCCAGTTTGTCCAGATCATTTTAAAATATGATCCTATTTTCCAAAGCACTTGCAACATCTCCCAGCTTGGTATCATCTGGAAATTTCAACTAATCCCTGCAAACCCCCACTTGGTGTGCCCTTCCAACATAACCATTCTCAGAATAGTTATCCAAGCTGTTATGCATCCATCTTACAACGTAGATGAGACTACTGTATTTCCCTAGTTTACTGATAAGACCACCTACATACCAGGAAGTATAAAAACAGGCACATATACCAGCAAGTGCGGGGCTTTATCATGAGTATGCCACAGAATAATTCTCTCTAGGCATATATTAGTGCTTGTAACATAGTTGAACTTTATACTTAATTCCAAGCTGAATACTTATTATGGTACTAAGTCAAAGCCAAATCAGACTGTTTAATAGTCCATAGTCCTAAGCATAAATGTAGCCCATCCATTCATTGCTTCCTCTGAATATCAACTTTCAGATCATCCTATACACTCCTTCCCTCACCTTGCCTTTCCTGAAGTTAAGAAAACAGCTTTAAAAAAAAATCATAGTCCCACTGCTTTTCATATACAGGACTGGAAAATGTGGTTCTTCCTTGGCAGTTTGATTTATGATGTTCCAGCAGTTGTTCCAACTTACCATATTAGCCAAGATTACATTACTTTTTAAAATTCTCCCTTGGGTTTGAAATTTGTTATGGTTATCCCAAAGGCAAATATTTTAGAAAGTGATCAAGATTTTCCAGCTGTTATGTTACTGGGGAGTTAAAAAGAGATGCAGTTTTTCAGCATTGTCATTTGTTAAACAATAACCCACAAAGTTGGAAAAACTACATTAAGTAATTAACTTCAGAGGGGTAGCCGAGTTAGTCTGTAACAGGAAAAACTTAAAAAAACAACAAATAGTCTGGTAGTACTTTAAAGACTAACAAAACACGTAGATGATATCATGAGCCATCTGAAGAAGTGGTCTGTGCCCACAAAAAGCTCATTTTATTAGTCTTTAAAGAGCTACCAGACTATATGTTGTTTTTAAAGTTTTTATTAAGTAAGTAAACACTCACTTCTGTACACTCAGAGGGGACATTTTACACTTAAGTCACCACTGCCCTGCATTTTGTGAAGTGAAATAGCTCCACAAGTTTCAGGTCTCTGGTGAATCAGGCCATTAATTTTTTTCTACTTCTGTCACCCTGAAAAATTTTAAACACACCTCCTTCCCCAGATGTAATCTCAGAAAATTGTGTGTAGCCAAAAAGACAATGCAGGAACTGTTAGAACTCATTTCTCCACATCCCATTTGCCTCAATGACTTTTAATTATCTACAAGTTTATAGCCATATTACTGCCAACTACAACTATTCAAGAAGAGCCCTAGTGTATTTAAAATAGGTTTGGCATCAAATAATTTTTTAAATGCAGATTATCTACTTTTCCAAAAAAGCCCAAATTTTTAATGCACCTGTAAAATGCCAAACATATATTACTGTATAGGTTACTATTATGCACCGAGGCAAAATCAAACACATTTGGGATTCATTTTAGAAGAAATTTTAGAAATATCTCTTTTCTATAATTTCCAGTTTGTAAACAGATATCACCACAAATTTGTATTCTCCCGATTTTACAATGACTGTCTATGCTACTTGAAAGTAGGTATTATCTCCATCTTAGAAATAAGGAAATGGAGTCAGGGATATAAAGTTGTATGCTGCAAGCCCCATGGCAAGTGAGCAGCACAGAAACAATTAATGAGACCATGCTCTAAAGTGTCCCTACCCTTTGTTTGCAGGAAACTGGGAATGGGTGCCAAAATATGGATCACATGAGGATTATCTGTTCATTCACTCTGAAGCATCTCATTGGCCACAGTCAGAAGACAAGACACTAGCCTACATGGACCATTGCTCTGACCTAGAATGGCTATTACATTTTACATTTTTGGTCTTGGAGGTAGGGAGCTATCTTCTAATATCATAGAGGTGTAGCTGTGTTAATCTGTAACTTTAAAAACGAATAGCCCCCCCACTATAGAAAGGATGTGGGCACATTGGAGAGGGTCCAGGGGAGGCCAATCAAAATGATTTGGGGGCTGGACCACATCACCTACGAAGAGAGGCTGAGGGATTTGGGTTTGTGTAGCCTGCAGAAGAGACGATTGAGGGGGAATTTGATAGCAGCCTTCACCTTTCTGACAGGAGGTTCCAAAGAGAATGAAGAGAGGCTGTTCTCAATAGTGAGAACAAGGAGCAATGGTCTCAAGTTACAGTAGAGGAGGTCTAGGTTGGATATTAGGAAAAAACTATTTCACTAGAGGATGGTGAAGCACTGGAAAGGGTTGCCTATGGAAGTGGTGGAATCTCCATCCTTAGAGGTTTTTAAGTCTCTGCTTGACAAAGCCCTGGCTGGGTTGATTTAGTTGGGCTTGGGCAGGGGGCTGGACTTGATGGCTCCTGAGGTCTCTTCCATCCCTAGGATTTTAGTTCTGTGTCACCTCAGAGACTAATCAAAATATACAGTGTCCTGAGCTTCTATGGGCAAAACCCACTTCATCACATGATCAGTTAAGCTGTGGGGTCTTCCCAAGACAAGGGGCTCGGTTCTGGCTCACTGCCAGGGGTGCTCCCTCCTCAGGTACCCCCCCAGCAACTCTCCACAGGCCCGTCCTCTGCTGTCCCCAGCCTCCCCCACTTCCCCAGGCACCCCCCCACCTGTCCACAGGCCCCTTCCCCCACCGCACCGGAACCCGCCGCCTCCCTCAGAACTGCACACTCATCCCCCGCCCTGCGCCGCTTCCGGAGCCTTGCCATTCACAGCGCACGCCGAAGGCGGCCCTTACGCCAAATGTGTAGGTGGGTCTTCATCCTGACGTACGCATTGGGCCAGAGAATCGCAGGCCACCCGGAACGCCAGGCAGCTTATCTACGCCTTTGGCGTACCAAGCTGTTGCCTGCCTTCCGTACGCATTTAGCGTAGGCACGGTAGCGTATCACGGTGTCTGTTTCCACACGCGCTTGGCGTAGCTCTCTTCTTTGCCTACGCCTTTGACGCACTGGGCCGCTCTTGGCAAAGGCAGAAAGATGCTGTTCGCCTGCGACAGGAAACCCAGCAGCAGGGATGCACCATGTGCAGATCAAAGGGGAGGTGGGGAAGGAGGGGAGGACCACTCCGTTGGCTTTATCCCTCCTCCCCAAATCTCAGCAGCTGGCTCCCCACCTTGCATTGGGATCAGAGGCATCAGGGCGAGGGTGGTGCATGCAGGCTCTTGGTGCAGTGCCCCTGGCTCGTTGCAGGGCACAGATTGTACCATCTGCGCCGGCTCCCCTCCCCATGCACTGCGGAGAATCTTTGCACAGCAATAGCAGCCAGATAATAACAATATTATTAGAGCCTAGGAGCATTATATTATAGACACATTTAAAAAAACCCACCATGTCGGTTGCCTTTGCTTCTGCTCGCCCGAGAGGCAAAGGGGAGGTCACCCAGCAAACTATCCAGAAGGTAAAAAGCATGCTTTTATACAGACAAGAAATGTTATTTGTATATTCCTTCTATGGTGCTGTGGCTGGGAAGATGGCTTAATTCTAAAGTAATCATGAAAACTAGTGAATTTACAAGGGTTGGGAAGATGGACAGCTGGAGGGAGGAGGAGGAGGAGGTGGAACAAAGCAAAGGTGTTCAGAACACTGCAAAGAGAGGGAGAGGGAGAAGGAAAGCTCCAGAGAAGGATCCGCAGAATAGAAAATTCACTGCTCACTGTCTTACGTGTTTGTAAAGAACAAAATGCCAGGGATACATTTCAAAATTGTAAGCTGGGATCTGCACATTTTGGACACCATATCAGCCCTTAACAAATCGTTGCAGGATTTTAATCTTTTAAAATATGGAAAGAGATGCTGAAGTGTGGCAATAAAGGTGCTCATAGCTATCTCCAAAGGTGTTTTTTTTTTAAAAAAAAAAAAGGAATTGTAGTTGTTCGGTTATAATGTTTAAAAGGCAAATGTTTTACATTGAAAGGATTTTCTCTGAAGACTCAGCTGTCCTCGGTTTTGTCTGAAGGCCAAAGCTGAGTCTGGAAGTTATGATGGGTATTTGTAAGAAAATAAGAGAAGGGTGGGGAGATACATACTTGCCCTCACTCCCCTCCTATCCTCCAGGAGTGAGATACCTGTGAGATAACTGTAAATAATGGAAGAGGTGTGGAGATGTCAATAAGCAATGCATCTATGCCCTTGATCTGTTTTACTTAGTACCTGTAATTTCTAGTTCCGCTGTGTATTTTATGTCATGTTTGCTCTGCCTTAGAAATTCTCGCTATCCAGGAGTTTGTCTAGTCAGTGCAGTGGAACTAAGGAATAAAGGTCTCATATGGCCTGTTTGTAAATTATAATGGAGAACACAAACAGCAGGGATGGGGAACCTCAGGCCCAGGGTCTGGATGCTGGCCCCTGGCTTGCCTAGATCCGGCCCCTGACACTGAGGGTTCCCCTCCTAGCACTGGGGAGCCTGTGCCTACTGAAGGACTGAAGCACACCAAATCTACTACCTGGGCTCCACTAGGCTCTGGTATGTGAAGGGAATGTGAGGAGTGTCTTTGTCCTTCTCAGTCAGGGCCATGTCAGTGAGGGTTTGGGGGTTTTTTGGGTTTCCCACTTGTGTGCGGCCCCAACTGATCTTCCTGTGGGTCAGCAGCCCCCAACCCAAAAAACGTTCCCCACCTTGACATACACGCACAAAAGGTGTCAGTGGTAAGAGAGTAATCAGTTGCTCATCAGCATTTCTTCCAGAGTGAAGCCATTATCTATTACCAGTTTTATGAATTATATGAGAATTTATCTAAAGGGAGAATATGATCAAAGTAAAGAAGAATTAAGGCATGACAAACAACCTTCAAGAGAGTTAAGAGCCTGATGTACATCTGTAAATACTAGAAAAGTCAATCTGCAATTCATCCTCTTGTGTCTTGGTCTTGCAGCACATGTGGTATTGTGGTCATACCTATTTACTTTTAAATGCTGAAATATTTAGGCACCCGTAGTTAAGGATGGAATTATATCCTTAACTTTGGATGTTTGTGTATTTAATATAGACTTTCAAAATTCATTTCATGTAGTCTTTTAAAATCACTTTTGATTAATTTCCATTAAAAAGAACAGCAAAATAATGTTCTTAATTCTCTCAATTTTCAAGACAATATCTTGAACTGAAAAGAACTGAAATCTGTTTCTGTACAAATATAAAAATATTTCCTCTATTAGGTACATTTGGTGACTTGTTATTTTAGGATTTCTTATGACTGCTGAGCTGTTGAAGTGTTCATGAACATAAATGGAAATTTTTGTCTGCAAACAAGTACATAACTCAGTGAGCTTTGTAATCATAGATCAGAAGTTGGGCTCAAAACTAATTGTGGGACACTTACTTTGGAAATCCACAACAGTGTTCTCTTTAGGAGCCAAAACTGTATATCAGTTAATTAAAAAAAATTCACAAAAATGCATAATTTTTACTTGTATATTTAAATACACACACAACTAATTTTTATTACAGGCAGTCCCCGTACGCGGATCCGACATGTCGGATCCGCAGTTACGAATGGGGTTTGCTCCGCGGCTTTGCTCCCTGGTCTGCTGGAGACGGGGAGCAAAGCCGGGGAGCATACAGGCAGCGGACAGCCCAGACGCGCTGCGGCTGGCCCCCCGCCCGCGTCCCCCAAAGG